GGGCGGCTGAAAAGTTTTGAGCCTAGGGTATTAAAAATGCCGATAGAAAAGTATAAAAAATATTTTTTCCTATTTAATCTCCCTCTACTACAACGGACTTCTTACATTTGTGTAAAAGAGCTTTTAACCCACTGAAAAAAAATTCGCAATCTTTGCCTTCGAAATGAGCCTTTAACGCCGCCTTAATTTCTTTGTCACTCAAAAATCTTCGTTCCTGAAGGTCTTTTTTCCAATTTGAGAATTAGACAAAATAGCTAAGGATTCGGACTAAACTGTGTGGTGGGTGATTAATTTCTTGAAATCCAATTTTACCCGAGGCAAGCCATGCATTATGCGCCATATGCGCGGGCGAATTGTCTTGCAATAACAGATTTCCATTCGCCAGTTTGCCTCTCAATATTTCAACAACCACTTGACGCACTCTTATCAACATTACAGTATAATAATCTCCGTTTATTGTAGTTTTTTTTTAAATAGGTAGTCAATGAATAAAATTCCTCCACAATCCCAAAAATAGTGGCTATGAGCTTGGGTGTCGATCGCTCCACTTTGAATTTCCGCGGCGACGTTTTCCCTTTTAAATCCATTGCATTGACTCTTATTTAACTCTACATCGTACTGCCGGATTTATTACTTATCAATAGTAATAATGTGAGAAAAATAATTGTTAGGATTATGGCCAAAGATGTCCTAAAACTCCTGCGAAGTTGTGACTCGACGCTGGTTGTCGAGCGGCGTGAGCATTTTTGGCACCCATAGCGCGCACCCCTATTTCATGTGCAAATTAGTATGAAAAATATCGCCAATACGTTCATTGCTAATGCCTATGGCTTCAGCTATCTGTCACAGCTTAATTCGCTGATCTCTAAAGCAAGATTAATTAAATTTTCATTATTTTATTCGTTAATGGCGAAATCTGGCCGCCCTGACTTGCGGTCATCTTTTAGCGACTCNCCACTTTAGTGGACCGATTACAGGAAATAGTGGCCCATTAAGTACATGTTTTTTTGTATTATTATGAATGTTCAGGAATCGGCGCAGTTTTTAAAATGGTTTTGGACCTATGGAAGTTCTTTTTTTTACTTAAACTTTTAAGTTGAAAATTTGATAGTGTTCTGATAAAAGCATAATTTTAATGTTTCGAGCAAAACTTTTGTATCTTAAATCAAAGATAGGAAGTTGATTATTTTTTTCAAACATCTGCAATTAATAACAAATCTGTCGAAAAAAGAAATCTGAAAAAAGTCAACCCAAAAAAAAGATAAAAATGTTTAAAGCCTACAAGGTCATAAAATTTTAAAATATCACAAAATTAACTCTATCTCCTAAACTAAGCACAATCGTATTATATACATGGGGGTGATTTAGGTACACCTTGATGTAAGGAATCTAAATTTTTCTTTTAGACCTCACTGTTTTGGCCACCCTGTATATTAAAAAGGTTTCATTCATATTAAAAAAATATACAAAATAATGTGGGAAAGGGTTTCGTCAAGATAAAGTCGGGCGGTGTTACCATCATCAGTTTATTAATTTACCACATACAGATATACAAATGGATAAAAACGCACAATATATTAGAAGATATCCGTGGGTACATTACACTCGTGTCTCGGTAGCAGGCAGCTCGTTAATTAAGACATTTCAATAAATTGCTAATTAAAAAAAAACATTTTTTACATTTATTTTTGTTTCACACGTACTGAGACTGCTGTGACAGTCCCAACAGCCGGTATAGCATTTATTAAAATTATTATATTTCTGCTTAACTTCATTCATGACGGAAAATAAAAAAATGTGCGTTTTAATTGTGCTGCTATGTATCAGGTCATTTCTGTGCTCCGTTTGGGAATGGAACTTAAGACCTCGAGGTTAGAAAAGTAAGAGAAAAACAATATTTCAAGTCACAATTGATTATGAAACAATATTGTATATGACCAGTGCAAAAAAGTCAAACACCACGCAATTCAAAATTAGAAACTACAAGACTAAGTGCAAAATACCGAATTTCTTTACCTAGTTACCTTTACTGATAGTCAAATTTTATTTGGACTTTCTTGTTTTTATTATCCTAGAGTCCTAGACGATACTTTTCACTTTTTTTAAACCGCACATAAAATCCTTAAGTACGTGGTTTAAAAGTGGAACTGGATTGCCCACACTCTCCGAAGGGACCCCGATCACATCCCTAAGCAGGCTCTGGATTGGAATCCCCAAGGAAAACGCAAACGTGGTCGACCCAGGCAAACTTGGCGGCGCACTGTAGCGGACGAGGCGAAGAAGATCGGCAAGACCTGGAGCGAGATCAAGCGAGAAGCTCAAGACCGAACGAGATGGAGGACTGTTGTGGACGCCCTCTGCCCCATCTAGGGGACATAGAACCATAAGTCAAGACGTGGTTTATAACTTAGCGATAAGACTTTAATTTTTTAAACATAATTGTGATTTTTTTATGTCTCCCGGTAAATGAAAAAAGGGATAAAATATAGTATAAGTATTTTTGGACAAAACACAAAAAGTCAAAATCGACGAGCTACCGCAACACACATCCGGAATTACAACAACTATACAATATAATGTCATACACGAAAAATTATACATTCACATTCATTTATATTATGTATATCTAAACATTTATATTTTATCCTAAAAATTTGGTGTTCTTCATTTCATTAACATTAAATCTTACTTTACTTAAGTATAATTTTATATACATTTTATATTGTGTAAAATATTTTATATATTATATTTGTTTAAATATATAAAGATTCTTGGGAGTTTAGTAATGCTGCTAACATTAGCTATGTAGGTAGTTCTTTTTAGAATTTATACAGTACAGTCAGGGATAAAAAATATTTAAAAATTTATCTAAAAGTATGAGTAAAGGTTTTTTTTCAATACAAGTAAAAACGTACTTTTCCCAGAAACCAATATGCTACTTCTTCACGTAGTTTTCGTACATAAAAGCTTGATAATTTATTTGCATAACGCGACTATAAAACCCAAAATGAAGGTAGTTGTCGTCATTGACGTACTTTTTATGAGCTGACAAAACCGTCTCTGCCATAAAATATGGCAAACAAATTATGATGACACTTTTCCGCGAAATCAATTGACGTACCTACTATTTATTATTTCAAAGATAATCTTATTTTATGGTTATTTGAAAACTATTTGGGTTTTCAGAAATAGAATTGTGTTGTAATCGCCATACAAAATGTATGGGAAGTCTCATTTTGACAGTTTTAAAAAGTACCTCAATTGATTGGTGTTGGCAAATACCCTATTGTTTTCAATAAAAACCACAAAACGCGTTTTTGAGATAAAAATTAGATAAAAGAGGAACTTATTTTGATATTATTATTAAGAAACAATGACCTCGTGTGAAACAATATCACGGAAGATGATATTCAAAACATTTTTCCAACGTTTTGTTGACTTACAAATATTGAGCCGTTGCGAATTTAAACACTTAATTTTAAGATCCGTTTGAGGTAGTCAAAATTGTAAACGGGCACTTCTATCACTTAACTCTTTAATTTAACACTTAACACTGACTGACTGACTCACTCATCACGAAATCTCAGAAACTACAAGTGCTAGGAGTCTCAAATTTTGCATGGGGGTTCCATTTAGAACGTAGGTGTCAATAAGACGGGATTTTGCAAAATTCAACCCCAAGGAGGTAAAAGATCCACGCGTACAAAGTCGCGGGCGGCCGCTAATATTTCATAGATATTTCAGAAGACAGTTTACATTTTTGGCCACTCTCAAACGAACACTAATTCCAACTTTACATAGACAATCCCATAAGGACCATTATTTGTACCGTTCGCTTATAATAATTTATGTAATCCAATAATTTACTCCTCACAATATAAACATTACAAACCGAAACAAAACGTAGCAATATTAATAATACATAATAATATATCTGACGCGCGTTATTTACAAAGATACATATTATTTACTTTAAATGCTCACTAAGTTTTGTTAAAAGTATCATTTAAATAACAACATAAATAAAAAAAAAGTTTCACTATCTACACACTAAATAAGTAAATTTATTTTTATATAATTTACGCTAAAAATATACAAGTCACCTTAAACTAATAAAAAAAATTGTGCGAAAAACTTACTAAAAATGTCTCCTAAAAATTGCATTAAAACATTGATTTTCATAAAAACAACTTAATATTTCAGTTGACATCAAAATGTGTGCAATTTTCAAAGCTGGCAACTTAACTTAGATTTAAAAAAAGATTTATTTCAAGAAGAGAGTTGAAGAATCTTATTTATGATGATATACGTGCAAAATAAATAATTTCAGTGCAGATTGGCGCCAGTTGCCGTTGGCTTCTTTATGTCCAGTCAGCGTCAAATAGTTCGTGCCACCCAAAGTGGCCAAAAAGTTGTCAACACAACCCACAGATCACAGAAACTAAAGGGAGATGTGAAAAGGGGGCGGGGCCGGTGTCGCAGTAATATGCCCAAAAACAGAACACATTGCTGCAGACGTCATAATGTAAACAGTTTACATTGCTTGCGTAGTACCACAGAATAATAAGTACTACGTACAGAAGTTTTACTTCGCGAAGGTATTTAAAAAAATGTATGCTCAATGTCATTAACAATATGGTGTAATTTAGCCTGCCTCAATAGTCAAGCACCATTTTGTTGACAAACGTCAGTGATCGGCACTGCGCCGAAGCTATAGGGCTGACTTCGGTAAAATGATGTGACGTGAGGTGCCAAACTGCGGAAAATGGCGGAGGAAATACATGATTTAGCATGAATTATCATGAATAATATTGAGTACTCTTACCGCAGTGGATACGGGACTATTCCCACCTCTCGTTCCCACCACTGCAACTCCTGTGTAGCCAGGATCTACAGCTTGACCNGCACCCCCTTAATCAATTATCTATATCAATTAAAACTTTTACACTATGCAAACAATTGATTTCACATTGGTATGTAATATTTATTTGTTTTTCCAGTGACTCTATCCGGCAAGGGTCCGTTCACGATCCGCGCTTCTCAATGGAAGGACTGCAAGCTGCCCGACGATACTATAGGACAGAACTACTTGCGACCTTTTGATTCTTAGTATAGCAGTTATAAGGTACAGTCAGCGTCAAATACACTGGTCATCACAAAAATCGGCCCACCTACGTTTTACAGGAAAACTCGTTTCTACTGACACAATCATGGTGCCCCAACAATATTGGTGTTATTTGAAAGCCAAATAAATATCCTTAAAGAAAAACACATTTAATTTCTTAATAAACGATTAACATGTACAATAAAAAATGTGACTCGAAAATAGACCTCACTTTGGGCTCACCTCTGGGATCATTAGACCAATTTTTATACGCGAGGGTCGATTACCAAAGAGTTGATAACACATCTTATTTCAGATGTCACAAAACGTGTTGCGAACCTTTTGGTTACTTTGGTTGTCATGAACTATTTGACGCTGACTGTACTGTTCTTTAGCTTTTACGATTCGTCGATGTTAAAGTAAAAAAATCAAACTAAGAATTTTGATTTTCTACACAAAATTATATTAATGGTGTACTACGAAAGCCCTTGGGAGATCATTGCTGTAATTTATTAAAAAAAATTAACTGTTAATTTATTTAAAATTTTAAAAAAAGAAGTGTGTTGAATGTAGACAGGTATAATATTTTTGTCTTGTCAACTATCAAAAAACTTCTTGTAAGTATGTATTCCTAAATAAATTGTGTCATATAAATGTGTCCATGAAAAAGAAATAATAAAGTCTAGTCTAATATTATAAACGCGTTGTCATTTTACTACATACCTATTATTTCATTAATGTTTTTTCTTGGCAGGGCTTTTAATAAAAATAAAACATATTTTGACATTAAATATACTTAGTTTATTTATTTACAAAGTACTTACAAAAATATGAACATCACGTCATTTTTAATATCATTTAGGAAATGCCACAACAATCTATTGTACTTAACATATAAAAGATTTATGATTTACTCCTCCACAAAAAATGAGTAAATGGGATAAGGAATTAAGTAAGAAGGTACCCAAAATTGTACTTATTATCCAGAATCAGTATCACGAAGACTTTTCATAAATAATAATAAATATTGTGATAGCTAGTGTAATAATTTAGGTATCATTATACACTTTTATACAGGATAGTTGAAACAGACTTATATTACATTTTAGAGACTTAAGGATGTTTTTTCTATACAAACAACAATAATAATATCAAAGACATTCGTATTATATAAAACATTTCTGGTGATTGTAGATTCAGAATTAAGTAAAATTACGGATATTATTAAAAACCATAAATAAATATGCTAATTTGATGTATAAAATAAAAAATATACAAGAGTTTCATTTTCATTGTTTCTCGTTACTTTACCTAAACACTGGCATCTTATGCAATTTTAATAAGTTATATTGCAACAAAATTAGAGTCCAAAAAATCTCTTATGTTTTCGACTGTACATTAATTAACCTCAAAAAAGTTAGTTGCACTTGACACAACCGGTGCAAATGGCACTTAGCTCGCAAATTATTGACATTACGTAACCGCGACAAATCTGATCGAACAAAAAACAAATGGACCATTGCGAAATTGTGCATAACTACGCTGTATTAGCTTTGACGTTAATACACGTGCGTATTCTGTAGGGCTAGTTTCCTAAAAAAAATTTTTTAGTTCGTCATGTTTAATATCAAAAAATATTGAACACATATTTTTTTATTTGTCAATCTAACAAATAATTACATAGTTATGGTGCGTTGAAGTTCCGCACGACGTCACAACGTGCGGCACTTTTATGCAAGCATTGACGTCACGGGCCTCTTCTTATGAACTTTGGCGCGCTTTATCTCTTTAAATTTTCATTAGTTTGAAAAAGTGAAAAATACGTGTAGAGTATTTTTTGATAAGTTAACTGACGGACTAATTAAAACTCTTGCTTTTTGACCCAGGAAACATCACTATTGTGAGTTGTTTTGCGTCATGCATGCGACCCAATGGAGTAGTAGATTGCCTTGAGTAGAGTGGGTCTTTTAGCTCACGAGTTCGATTACTATTCGGATCAAGTTAGAAAACGACATTTTTGAGGAATTCCTTCGTCTCTGGAATCTTGTAGCTCATGTAAACACATAGATTACAGTTTCTCGACTAAAATCAACCCAAAAAATATTAAATCACCAGAAATTTTTCCTCGTTGCTTACTTCTTATAATGACGAAAACGTCCTAAAGGCTAAAACTATTAATTCTCCAAAGACAATCTTTGTACTCTAATGTTTTAAAAGAAAGAAACAACTTGCCATCAATATTATATTATGATTTTAAAAAAATGTAAGGCCCGTGTTTCTCGTATCAGTCCACAGACATAAAATACATAACCCTCTTTCTGGTGCAGTCGGGTAATGACACAGCCAAAATTATTGTAAGCCGACGACCTTTGATGCTTGAATAGCAAAACTGTAATGATTCATACCCTTATCATACAATTTTGATGATCAACACCTGATAATTCAAGTATTGACTGCACGTGTAATTCTATGAAATGTAGGTTAAACTTGGTGTCAATAAAGTACCTACGTTTGAATTTTACATTGTAATCATATTTTTTATCAATCATGCCACTTTATTATTTTAACTTACGCCGGACGATAACCTGCAGTTTGATAACTGTTATACAAAAATAGTAGAGGTGAAAACAATACGTACTTAAAGGCAAAGTCACTGTTTAATAACAATTTATACATTAACTGTATAGGTATACAGTTTGAGTCATTGAAAATACTGGATTCTTTTTTTTACCGTCTTGATATTTTTACAGGATGAATATAAACAACTTTCACTATGGGACAAACTCCTAAATCCCAAAAAAAATCTGCTGTTTCATACATTTTGGTCAATCTGTATGAACTTTAATATAATGCAGCTGTTTTTTGTGATTTCATAGTATTATATTTTAAAAAGATCTGTATTCAGAAAGTGTATCATGATACGAAGTCTACAGCTCATTAAAATTGTATTTTTGTTGCAATATATCTTTTATTACAAATACATAGATGCCAGTGGGTAACTTTACGTGCGGTCGTTGTTAAAAACATAGGCAATTTAAAATTTCATGTACCTATATCATTATTTCTTGTTGTTTATAGCTTGTTAACAGTGCCTATCATAATGAGATTTGGGCTTTATCAGAGCGTTAATAACTAATTTAAATGTTAATTAAGTGATACTAGCACCAACAGATAAGTGAAAATAAGTACATAATTTATTTTAAGTAACTATTTATGCGTAGGTTTACGCAGTGTAAACTTAATATTTGTACATTTTATTTCAAAGAGACGAGCTTTACAATGTTCTGTAATATAAAGTTACAATAAGGGAAAACGGCTATAATGTTACCTCCAGTAATAAGTCATAAAATACCAACAGAATAATATTATGTACTTCATTATATTTATGCATTGTCCCTAAACATCCTGGTACAATAACAATGTAAACGGTTTTGTACTAATTTGCTTACATTATCAAAATATTTTCAAAACATACTTTGAGGAACGTGCGAAGTATTTTTAGTATTTCACAATTGTATAGGTACAGCCGACAGAACACGAGACTAGCACATTTTTGTTGTAAAATAACTCGTATTCAAAATACATAAGGTACATTGTAAATTGTAACCTTATGTGCTGTCGTTTGTACCATAGGTACTTTTCGCCTGACAATGCGACTAGAGTTGAGATTAAACTCCTCTAATATCGTTTAAAATAATTAAAACACATGGAATATTATTCCCCAGAAACTTTTCAAACCATGTAAAAAGTTTCTAGGAAATTCAAATACTTAAATAAATAATAAACAATATAAATATACCGATAAAAAGATACAAAATGTGAAACAAATTCCAAAGTATGAAAATTTTCACCGACAGGATATAAATTTAAAATTAATCAACCAATTAGCATAGTAATTATCAAACGGTGTGGGGTACGGTCGGATTAAAAAGCTTTAAAATCTTTATTACCTACGTCATGATAATAATTCTCTAGAAGTAATAAGGACTTTTTACGTTAAATTAAAGATACATAAATTATATTTTTGAACACATTACACTTTAAAAAGTGATATTAAAATGAGAACGTTTTATTTTTTGCCAGATTGTCCACGTCCCGTTTTTACGACTTTTCGCGATATTTCAACCAGCACTTATTTCTGACTGTACATTTATAGCGACTCAAATTACCGTGTTCTTCGCCGATGCCGCAAAAAATAAGCTGTGTGGTGGCAATAAACTTGACGCTTATGACGTCATCAGACCATCACACCACATGCGTGTCCACTGCGCACGATCATAACTATGCTAGCTTTACCTGTTTGATTTTTCAACCGTGTATACGATTTTTCGATTGTATAAAGATCAGAAAATATCTTATTTATATTTGACTAATAAAAATAATATGATTATTATAAAAAAAGAAGTTGAAGTTGTACAATAACTTAACAACACTTTATACACAATATTGCGTATGTCTTCATACGTGAATCACAACGGCCAATTTCTACGCAATAAATTGGACACTCAAGACAACAGACTATATTTGGCCTAAATACATACTAGTACTGGCGTTCAATTAAAAATATATTTAAATCGAGCTTCTTATTTGCGAAATTGCGACTGATTTTATTGTAACTTGACTTTGTATACTTTTGGTACTATGTACTTTCTATGATGGTATTCTTACATTTAACAATTCCCGCATATTCCAAGTCTTGGTTACCCAAATAATCTAAGGCACTGGGGTTTATAAAATGCTCAACACAACCTCTAATCCATTTAGAATATTGTTTTTCTCAATTCATCCAACGACTATTATCCTAAATCAAAGCCGACTATATTGTCTAGATCGTAGTTAAATATCGCGTAGTCGTGCCAATATTGCTTGTACAGCTTCCTAATGAGCGGCAGTTCTAGTTGAGAGAAGTACCTGTGTAGTTTTTCTGAAGTTCCTGATGTGCGTATGAGTCGCGGGAACTGTATGTGAGACGCGTTGATGGTGTGCAGTGCGAGCTGGGAGTCCTCTACCAAAGTCTCGTATTTACCTGAAATGTACGAATAGGGGATGTTAGAAAAAATAAACTTAAAACCTTTTTAAAATCAAGCTTTTCTGCGGATTCATCATCAGATCTGACCCTGGATATCACTAAGAGTTTCGTTAAAGAGGCCACTATCCGGCTTTGACAAAATTTCAGGCCTATCGGTTGTTAGTAAGCAGGACTAATTCAGCTTGCAAGATTTGACCTACATTGCAAGTTAAATAAAAGCTTGTAATAAAATGTAGTCGCTCGAGGAAAGAAAGACAACGGGTTATTCCCCGTCTATCGATATCTGTTGCCTTGACTATATTCAATATAGGGTCATTCCANTGTTTATTTCATCATTCAAAAATATACAACACGTGTGTTCAAATCTTCGTAGAATAGCATCA